GACGCCTGTGCAGATAGAAGCAGACGACGCGACTGCAGATTAAAGATGGCGCTCCAACATAACCCTCACGATGGGTATCAGATGACCCATCGGACGCGCTGCGGTGCGACCATGTTTTGTATAGATGTACACATACATATGGCTACCTCTGCGTGTAGCCCTTCGCTCTGTGACAGTCTGTTGAGTAGCCACAAGTTGCCTTCGCGCTCGCTTCTCGCTACGTGGCACAGTCGTAGAGCTGGTCGGGTTACATGTAATTTACCTGTAGTAATGTACCTGTAATGTACCTGTAATGTACCTGTAATGTACCTGTAATGTACCTGTAATTTACCTATAAGCTACCTGTAATTTACCTGTAACTTATCTGTTGCGTTGCGGAGCGAAGGGCTGCATACAGGGGGAAAGATGCATAGATAATGAAGTCGTGTAGAGTGGAAGTCTAGCTATAGCCACTGATCTTACTTTCACTCGGTAATTCGCTGTTGAAACTATGAACTATTATTATTATTATTAACTATTATTAATTAACTATTTCTTTTCCATTTAAAGTTAAACGAAACTGTTATGTTTTAAAATGGAAAATGTCACAGGCGAATGTGTTGGTTGGACGAATAGATAAGCAATTATAGACATATCTATGCGGCTACTAGAATGGCGATGGAGTGCTTTGTAATCTAGTTTTAATAATTTAGCCAAGTGCTAAAATAAAGGGAAATGCTGTGCTGAGAAGAGATTACTAGTTATGCCTAATACATATGCTCGTAGATTTAGACATAACTTTACGCAGTGAAATGATTCACTTTCTCTCGTGGATTCTTGCCAGAAGCATGCCAAAGTTATTACTAGTTTCTCATACGCAGTATATGGAGATCCTGTCTGATTAGAGAAAACGTTATTTGTAAAATTTATGTTAGGACTTTCTCTTTGACAACGAGCCCGAGGCGAGTAACACGAATGTGATAACAAGATACACAATCGCAATAGCGTCATTTGGGGGGAAGTTAAAGGGATACAATACCCTATAGGTTCTTTAAATATTTTCAGCTAAAATAGGTTAGAATTACACTACATAAAAAGTGTTATGATTCAATATTCATTAAAAATTTTTTTTTTTACATGTTTTAAAACTGACGGCTATACCGTTGCATATACGGTGACGCCACTGGAAGCGCACCCACTGATAGAGTTGCGCAAAGCATCGTTGCAGCTGCAGGCTACAGACCGAGGGTGTTTCTTATTTATATCAGTCAATCCTGTGTTAGCGCATATCTTTATTGCATGGATGTCTGTCTATAAGGGACACGTTTGGGATTTCGCATGAGCATGCATCTATACGGTGGAAGCTTTTTTATAAACCGAATACCTGGCTACAAAGAACACTTGGTGTTTCCCTTGAGTGGCATTTATATAGTGAAAGTAGCTTCATAGAACAGACACCTGTCTATAAAGGGCGTCTTTGTGTGTTTCCCTGTGTACATAGTTGTTGACTGTAGGTGATATTATGACGATGTTATACTGATGACCGACGTTGAGTATATAGCGACGTCCCCACGGGAGGTGATTGCTTCTGTTGAAGCAGCTGCGCAGTCATACCCGTCTCCTTTCGTGGATCCACGCGTATACTTATTTATATCTATACATGGTCGTCCAACGAGGAATGTGTATCATAAATACAAGTGCCGTATTGGTTCGCTTTGCCAGGTTCCTTCTTACTACAACCAGTGAACATAAGAGGGCCTATTATTGTACGTGTCGGTATTACTGTACTTGTGGATTGCTATTATCCACTCTTGATATATATATATATTGGGCTATGATTACACAGGAGTGTTGATAATAGAAAATTGTCGGTACAGGTTGAAGTTTGAGGTGAGGGGTAGAGACATGTTGAGTAGAAAAGAAGCTTAGTTAAGTTGATTGTCTTTGAACTGTTGTGACCAACCGTTATGAATGTGGCATTGCTACCAGGTGACTCAACTCACAGGACGTGGCTGGAAATAAAAGAATTAGCACAATATTTGCCTTAAGCGTCGCTCTTGATTATCAAATGATAAATATCTTAGCTGCACATTCAGCCACAGTAAATATACGAAACAGTAGCAACACTTAATATCAGGTACATGTAATTTTATTGTGATTATATACACCTGTTCAGGGCTGGTTCTAGCCTCACCTGTTCTAGCCAGGAGTAGTTTATATATATAAAAAAAACGCTATCCAAATGCATTATATCGCTATTTACAATGCGTCATGACTTTCAAGATCGGTTTCTATAAAAAAAAGTATTTTCCCTGAAATAATCGGATAGGGAACCCAATCTTCCCAAAATCCGACGTGCCTCTGTGCATGCCCATTATCCACTTGCTAGTGAACATACATAATGCTAGCGACTCGAGTCACTCGAGGCTTCTATGTTACAAAAAGTTTATTTCCGTCATTTTTTCACAACTAACATAGTTCTTGGTACAAAGTGACATGATAAAGATGATGATGATAATCCACCAATATATTACTTTTATATAGGAATAAATAGTCTTTCGCTAATATGCCCAACACAACGAGTTTCACCTGGAAAAATTAAAGCTTTACAACAAAAAAACACCTTGGCGGCCAGACGTTTCGACCGCACACTAGCTCTATATTGCATACACCTCCTATAATCGACGACGACATTTGGTTTAAAACTAATTCAATACATTCTGTTTTATGTGAAATTTATATGTTATATTGCGCAAGCAAAGTTATGTTCAAGTAGCTACAGTTGCCATGTGGGCGGAGATTTTGTTTGTGAAAGTATACAGATTTAACAAATTATAATGAGAGATTTAATTATTTATATTATAAATAATTAA